GGGGGGGGGGGGGGGGGGGGGGTTAGGGCAATGCAAATGGTAAAATAGTATGGTTTGTCTCAAACAGCAACATTTATAAAATAAAAAGAGAATCCACCATAGGACGTGTATTTGCTAAATGTATAATTGTATGACGGCTCAGAGTCAATTAGGTGCATTTCTAATACTTTCTTTTTAGTGCTTGTCTTCATATATATACACACCAGCTTTCAGCTGACAGGGAATTTATGGATCTTTTGTTCTAGAATTTCTAATATAAAAGGGTGCAAAACTAGCAGGGAAGCTATGGATCAGAGTAGAAATTGAGCAACTAAATGTTCTTTTACTTGATAAATTTAACATAATTCTATATCTCCATTTCCTGAACTTGTATGACTGTTGTTTGTATAGTTATTTTTCTACAGTTGTATAAATATTACTACTACAACAACAATGACCCAGTGAAATCCCAATAGTGGGGTCTGGGGAGGGTAGTGTGTACGCAGACCTTACCCCTACCCCGAGGGGTAGAGAGTCTGTTTCCGAATGTATAACTATTACTACTATTTTTCAAATTGTGGTTTTGTTCATAAAAGCGTGAAATTCAGTTGTATTTTTCAGCTAAATTCCCAGCAGTTCTTGGTGTTTTTCGCCTTTGACAATACTATAAGACCATAGACATGACAAAACATTTTTGATCACTCTCACATGTGGGAAGATTTGTCGAGTGATTGGGAAGCCAGAAAATGACAGAAAGAATGAGTAGTCATTTCAGGATTGAACTCTAAGGGGATGTCACATTTCCAACTAGATCCGTTCTCTGGCATATTAGCCATGTCGTTAGTTATCATATAAGATAAGTCAATAACTATGACTCAATCCTAAACTACTAGGGGTCGGCTATATGAATCGTCTGTATCCATTCCGCTCCATTGCAGTTTCCTATTCAAGACTATGTTGATCCTTGATTGTTCGTTCTTCTATGTACGCAATCATCAAATTAGTTGGGATCGGCTATATGAATCTTTTATTTCTGCTCTCCTCTAACGTATAGACTTTACTGTTTAGGACAACTGTGATATTAAGCTGTTGTTTGCTTTCTTGAACCTTCATTTCACTAGTACACTTTTATGAGATTAGCTTGAATCAAAACGTATATATACAAAGGGCGCAAGTGCTATCACCAATTAGAGACTATGAGTCTTGCTCTATTTACCTTTATTTCCTACTTATCCGGAACATTTAATTGCATTCTTGTCGTCCTTATTTCAGGATCTTCTTTCAGTGCAGAACTTCACCGAAACGGGTGAGAATAATATGACAAGCATTTTATCCAAAAAATTGAACCATAATTTCCAACTCACTGCTTATCGTTTCTGATTATTTGGTGACGATGAACTACAACAAGTAGATACATTTAACAAAGTAATAATATCTTTATCATAACCAATGACTTGACATAAATAGAGTTTTCAATGTAACTTTCCAGTTGGAAACTAAGGAAAACTTTAATAGTTGATATTCTTCTTATATCCAACTTTCACTAGGTCATAGAACTTACAATTTGAAGCTGTCTTCGACATTTCAGTTTAAATTCTTTCATGCATATATGGCAATAAATCTACCATGAAAGAAATTTAGATATACACGTCCTGATTATCACCAAATCCAGTTACCCCTCCCCCGTCCCTCCCCTGCCCCAACAAAAACAAAAGAACATGTGCCATAATGTACCTATCCAGGCACATAGATCAAATATTTATCTCAAGAGGATGTATATCGTTTACCTCATTATTATGCATTTAAACAACGACAACATAACCAGTATAATCCCATAAGTGGGGTCTGGGGAGGGGTAGTGTGTATGCAGACCTTACCCCTACCTTGTGCAGGTAGAGAGGCTGATTCTGATAGGCCCTCGACTCATGGATTTATTATGCATTTGAAAATGGATTCCAATTCCATAACTGCTAAAATCAAATAAGAACAACTTCACAAGAATCAAAGGAAAAGAGATTTGCAAACACTAATAGAACTGAGCAATCTCAATGTTCTGTGACGACATAATCTGCTGCAAGAATTGCTCAACATATCACAATTCAAAACACAAGATTGCTAATACGCAGGCCAATCACCAATAAAAAAAATAAAAGAAAGATAGCTAGCATACAAAGTTATATGTAAAACGAATAAATAGACTACCTGATCTGCCGCATTTGTTCAAAGACATCAATTGAGTATATGTTGGAATCATCTGCGAAGTAAACAATCCCATCAAGATGGTGTGTTTCAATGTGGTTTAGTGCCACATTCCTTAGGTTCACACTTTTATCCTTCACTATGGTGGAGTTCTTCTTGCATACGAGATGCCTGTACATAACTCTGGTTCTCCTCAATATATTAGCTGTCTCCGTTGACTGAAAGTCCATCTCCACAACTATCCACAACAAAGGAGGTGGGACTAATCTTAACGTGTGGGATAAACGGTTTAGATTGTAAGGTTGAAATGACCGAACTTCTGTTGGCGTTACAATGATCAAAAGTTTTCTTGACGCCGTCAAATCTTGATCAAGTGATTGGTTAACAGACGCATTGACGGCAATTTCAGCTTTCAATTCACTGTATAATTTATTAGTCGTTGACGTAGAATTATCAAGGAAAGCCGAGCTGTTTACAGATGATGCCATATTCCTAGACAAATCATCAAATAAGCGGCCATTTTCGTAAGAGTGGAACACCTCAAAGGAGAAAGCTTTATGTTTCGACATTATATTTGCTGACAAATTCAGAGAAACAAATGGAGTGAGGCCAATAAAAACTCCAAGAACAAAGCACATAAAAAATTGGAGAAGTGCTTTCCTCCAAATTTGGCCCTTTAGCTTTGACCTCTCTAATGTCCTAGATGATCTTCGCGACAAAACACCAACTACAAATGTCCGAACTTTATAGAATGCATAATCCAATGAACCAAAAAAAGAATGCAAAACCCCTGCAGCCGGTGTATAACTTTGATTACACGACGATGACTTGGACAATGGCGACGCAACAGAACATGCTTCCCCATTAATTCTATTCCCCGGGCGAGGTACTGGGGACAATGCTCTTCTTATTGAAGCCATTGATTTGCTTAAAATACCTTCACTCCAACTGGTAAGCAAAATTAAATCAATATGAACAACAACAACAACTACATCTCAGTCCCAAACAAGTCGCGGTCGGCTATATGAATCCTCATTGACCATGTTTCTCCATTTAAGCTCAACTCATGTCCTCATCATACCAAATAATTCAATATGAACTTAACTTCTAAAAGAATACATAGCTAAAACTCATCTAAAAAAATCTGAAAATATCAGAACAGATAAATACTCCATGCTTGTTCATGTGCTATATACTATCTTTTTCTCAAAACACTATGCTCGGTATTGATATATTCAATACAATTTCAAACTACCTAAAAACTACAGCAAAATCAGTCCTTTTTGAGGATTTGCAGCAGAAATACAAACACTTGACTCATTTAACAACAAGAGTCAAGTGGTTGATTACTCAACTAATCACAGCTCAATTTCTAATCATTCCAAACATTCTTGTAAGCAAGAACTGATATAAAATCAACCAATGACACTCTATGTTAATGAAAAATCAAAACTTTTTCAACTAAATCATAAACAGAAATCAAGAAAACCAATACCCATTAGCCAAAAGTACCAGGAATACCAGATTTCAACTTCATATGAGCAAATCTTGAGCTCAAATGAAAAGGGTCATTGCATTTCTGTTCAATATGAATTGGGTCTTTGATATTTTGAACTCAAGTGAATAGGAAACAATATAATTCTCACTTCATTTGGCTATGTAAAAACCTCATTTTTACCAATTTACTAGCCAAATGTTTCTCTTTTTTTGGGGTCCAGAGGAAACTTTTATTGGCACTTTTAAATCAAATGCAGAGTTGAGTTGAGTTGAGTTGAAAGTGTTTTTAGGAGAGTATAAAGAAAACGACAAAAACAGCAACAACACAGTATAATCCCAATTAGTGAGATCTGGAAAGACTAGCGTGTACGCAAACCTTACCCCTACGCTAAGTTACAAAGACTATTTCCAAATAGATCCCGGTATAGTTGCCTCCAAGAACTTACCAACTTGCTTTTGGGAGACTCGAACTCACGACCACTTGCTTGCGGTCACAGCAACCCCGAGAGAGAGTCAAATGACAGAGATGCTGAGGTTAATTTAAAATTATTATTGGATTATTAAAATTCTGTTCTTTTAACAATAAAGAACACAAAGGATAACAAAAGCAAAATGTCCCACTAACTCAAAAGTATATTAGTACAATGTTTAGTGATCTCTATTTTCTAGACATTAAATTATTGGTACAATGTAGAGTACATTGGTACAATGTTTAGCGATAGAAAACTATCTTATTTTTAGGGTGTGTTTGGTACGAAGGAAATACTTTTGTCACTAAAAAAATATTTTCATGTAAAATGAGTAGTTTTATCACTTATTTTTTTGATTGGTTGGTGAATGAAAAATTTTTTCTGAAAAATATTTTAAAGTATTTGGTTAAAGAGTAGAAAATACTTTTTAGGAAAATATTTTTTATGCTACCATCCTCATCCTATTTCCCCTAAGTCCCCATGTTTTATGGGGAGAAATTCAAAACTAGTCAGATTTACAAGTGGTCATTCAAAAAGAGCCACAGTTTCAAAAGTCATCGAAATTTAGTCAATTTTCATGTAAAGATAAATATGAACGAAAACACTCTTCAAAATTCGGAAAATACTCCAGTATAATATACTGGAATTCCAGTATAATATATTGGAACTCTAGTATATTATACTGGAGTTTGGAGTTCCAGTAACTCTAGTATATTATATTGGAGCCAGTAAAGTATATCGGTCCAGCATAATATGCTAGAAGTTCATACGCATGTGCATCGAACTCCAGTATATTATGCTGGACCGGTCTCTGTTGCAGCAAAATAGTGACTATTTTTCAATGACTTGATAAACGCTGACTATTTTTGAATGACCATTTCAAAAATGGCTAGTCCGTGCTATTTTAACTGTTTTATGTGCTCTTTCCATCTCCCCTCCAAATACTCAATGTTTTAAAGACTCTATTTTGTTCAATAATTTAATAGGGAATAGGGTAGGGTGGGGGTAGGTTAGGTGGGGTATGGGGGTGAGTTGCTTGGGATAAGGAATGGAGTGGGTAAAGTTGAAAAAGAGTTTTGGAAAATGTATTTCTCTTCTCTTGATATGGAAAATATTTTTCTCCAATTTAAGGAAAATGAGTTCATGAGAAAAATATTTTCCAAAACTTTTAAGCCAACCAAACATGGAAAAATTGGGAAACATTTTCCGGAAAATATTTTTCGTCATACCAAACACACCCTTACTCTTAACCCTAATATGCAGATAAATTTAAATTATATTTAAAACTTGAGGGGTAAATTTAAATATTTTTTCTCGAGGAGTTGAACGCCATTTCATATTGGAGTTTCCTTGAGGATAAGGTCAAATATAAGACGACTTGCTAACAATAAAAAATATGAATAGATCGAAGGTATAACGAAGGACAAAATTGAACAATTTTGAATAATTTATTTAATTTAGACCTTTTCTCTTTTTATGTAGAAACCGAAAAAATTATTGAAATAAAATATCACGGCGAGTTTAAAATATTACGTAGTAAATAAATGTGAATTCGTTAAAAAAAAAAAAAATTCATATAGAATAATGTTATAGGGTATAGAATACTTTATAACATGTTAAAGGTAATCATATGATTAAATTGTATGAATAAGACAATTGAAACAATAACACTGCTTTCTTAATAATTAATTATTTTAGTAGACAAAAATATGTCTTCAGTGGACACCCATTTATCTATACCCAATATTTATACCAAATCGATAAAAACAAAATAAGTGTTTTTTATATGTATTTCTTACTTAATTAACCAAAGTTTATATTATCACTTTATTTTTTAGTTAGAAATTAGTCTTAGAATGCTATTGATCAACTACTGATGCTGTGCTTTATTTTCTGTGTATTAATACCTTACATCTTTCTCGTATTTCATATATCTCTTATATTGCTGTTACATTGTTTTTTATGGTATTTATGTTATGTTATGATTTTTATGGTATTTTATGTTGTTTTATTATGAGTATATTGATAGTACTAATATAGTGTCTCTTGTTGCCTCTTCGAGCCGAGGGTCTCCTGGAAACAGCCTCTCTGCCCCTTGGGGTAGAGGTAAGGTCTGCGTACATATTACCCTCCCCAGACCCCACTTGTGGGATTACACTGGGTTGTTGTTGTTGTTGTTAAGGTTACTTGCATTACTTTGGCATAAACAACAAATGTTAATAAGTATTTACTCCTGCTTTTTTAACAAATGAGATTTAAATTTTTTAGGGTATCTATACTATATTAAAAGCACGGATGTCATTAGCGAAATGTCGTTCGCCTTTTTTACCCTTTAGAAATAGACTTTATATTAGACAAAATTATAATTTAATTATTTTCCTAAATTTTATGATTTTGAAATCAGCTAAAATTTTGGTTATTAAATTTTTCCTTATTTTAATTACATGGAAAATCCTAATATAGACATTTAAAAAAAATTATTTTTGAGAAATAGGAGTATTACGTAGGAGTATTGAGTTTCTTTTCCTTACTGCAAATTCAATGAAATGCTTGACATTTATTCTTATTATATAGTGCACTTAGAATTTTAAGGGAAGCTTCTGTATATTATTACTATTAAATAAAAGTGAGAGGTTTATATTTAATTAAATATTTTTTAAAACTAGTGAATTTATGTTTCAAATATTATAAAAATTAATAAAGATAAAAATATTATTCGAGTTGAAGGAGTTCGAAAATTATAAAAGTACGAATCCCCAATGCGAAAAAAATAAAGTTATTTCTTTTTAATAGTTAGAACAAATAATTAAGTCTTTGAATTAATTACTCCCCCGGCTTCAATTTATGTACAAAAAAAATATTTTTCGAGATTCAAACTACCGAAATTTTAAAATATTTTTTCCATCATATTGGCGCGAGAAAAATTGCAACTTATAGTATTTCTTATATAGTTTTTGAATATTTAAATTTTAACTTTAAAATATCAAGTTAATCTAATTCAATTTAGCTTTAAATAATAATCATATTAACTCTTGAAAAGCGAAAAGATTCACATAAACTAGAAATGAAAGAGTAGTGAGCACAATAATTCAATTTTACTATTTTTAAGATCATCATACAAGTAAGATTATTTAAAATTGATAAAATTCTTAAGTAGAGCTGTCAAAACAGGCTAGCCCAGCCCAACCCAACCCAAACCTCGTGGGCTTTTTAATTTGGTGGGCTAGGGCGGGCTGGCCCTCCATCTATATGGGCCTTAAAATGGCCAGCCCAGCCCAGCTCTTAGAGGGTCGCGGGCTAGGGCGGGCCGGCCCTTCAACTTTGTAGGAAAAAATATCTCTTCAAATTTTTAGATATTTTTTCGTGATATAATTTTTTAATCATATGAACGACTTCTGTTTATTTAGAGTGCACAAGAATCTTGATATTTGATAAGGAATCTCGTAATTGAAATGCAAATTCTCTATATCTCTAGCTCTTCTTTTTTAACGTTACATGACTATTTTTTTAATACTTTTCTTACACTTTCCTTAGATTCAGGTAGTGCTTCGATAAGTTTATATGTTAAGGTTTTTTAATTTAGGTTTAACATTATTTGTTGATTTCATCATTATAGTCCATGAAATTTTTAAAATTCATGAAATTTGCTAGTGTTTTACAATTTTCTTTGGGTATTAAAACTTGACCTTTTCTATACTGAAGAGCAATTTAATAACTAATAATATATTAAAGTAACCAAACTGATCATTGGCCACTTAAAGTAATATTTCTTTTGAAAAAAATTACTATTGGCCACTTAAAACTTTATTAGTTCGTTGTTAATTAAGCAAAAGAAAAACTAATCTTGTCATACTACATCCATATCAAAAATATAAATTCTAGTTGATATGGAAGGATAAATGAGAATTCTAAGGGTGGAAAATGTGGATTATAGTTAATATTTTTTTAGTTTTTACTTTTTTAAAATATTTAAATATGAATTTAATTAATTTTTGGTCCACGGGCCAGCCTCGGTCAAGCCTCAAGGGCCAACGAGCTGACTTGGGTCGGGCTTATAAGCCTCAATTTTAAATGGGCTAAAACAATCTCAACCCACCCCTACCCAAGTAGCGGACTGGGTTGGGCTGGCCTCATGGGCCAAGCCCATTTTGACGGCTCTATTCTTAAGATACATAATTTATTTCTATAAGAAGAGCATTGATGGTGAAAAAATTATAAAAAATAAAGCAAAATTGATTATGTTATAGTTTTAACTTGTTATTTGTTTTCTGTATTGCATAACAAAAACAACAATAGTTTTCATAAGATGTCTGCATATGTCCTAAGAAATTACAATAACGCCTAGAGAAAAAATTATTTCTTGAATTAACTAAATTAGATCAATATATATATTTTTAGGGGCTTCAATCTTTTTCGTTTTTTATTTAATAACCCAAATAAATTATCTAATATAGTTACCTAATATTTTTCGTTCTAGGTTCTCTTTCTTTGAGAATATTGTTGTATTAGTAATTGAATTTTGTGTGAATATATTTATATTAATAATTGAATTTTGTGTGAATATATTTATAAACTTTATATTAGTAATTGATTTTTCATTAAAGTATTTGATTAGAACTTTGAACATATACCAAAGCAATTTGTATTATTCCTAGTCTTTCACTTGTATACAATATTTATTGGCATATGTTATATGAATAATGTATTATATAACCTATCATCTGGAAGTTTTCTTTCAACAATGGTTTTAATTTAAATTATAAGGTAATTGAATTTATATGCTCTTTATTTTACAAAATTTTGTTAACTTTTATATAATTCTTTGTTTCATACTTTGAATTTGGATTGGTTGATTTCATATCAGACATCTTACAAACTTCGGTTAATTTAATAGTCAGTTAATTATTTTTTAATATTAAGAATAAACGTCTAATTATTTTTTCTAATATTTTAGACTTTAGATTAAATTTATGTATTAAAATTCTTTCTTATTTGAACTGCATAATCTATTTTTTTTGTTTAAAAAGAAATAACACATGAAAATCACATTAGAAATTTCGCTCATTTTCAATTTCTTTTAGGTTTAGGAGTCCTTTAT